ACCAGGCAGAACAACAAGAGCCAGGCAAACGACGGAGGTGACAAAGCCAACCTTGCAGAAACAAATGCCCAAACAATGTCTTTGAGCAAATGCCCTGTCTCAATCAGCACTGTCTCGATCAACTTCGTGAATTAGCCGATTAAACGCTAGCCTTGATCCTTGAAGAGCACGCATCAATTGTCAAGCCAGCCAGGCAAGTCAAGCTCAAGTTCTTGCCAAGCTTCGAAAAAGTGATAGTTGCGCTGGCCAATGCAGTTGTTTACAAAAGGGCAGTGGTGATCATAGCGTAGAACACATTGATCACAATCAGGACCTCGGTAGCAAGAACTGTTGCCTAGCAAAAGTGAAAACTGTCAAGTGCCTCAAATCTATTGCATCATGATGGGGCCTTGCACCTCTCATATTAGTAGACAATGTCCTGTGTTTGCAAAATACTTGGAACTATAGCTTATTGTAATGATCTTTTCAAGCCACCTGAGGGCCAAACAATGGGAGCTTCTAGGTGGCCGAATGATTTTGCAGGTGCGGCACCACTTGAACCCCCTGGCAGCCATGCACCACAGATCCTAAATACATGGAGCTTTTGCAGCTGCAACCATTAACAGCGCTGGATTGCTTGCACTCCGCAAGCAGCTGCTTTAAAAGGTGAGCAAGAACAGTTCTCCGGTTTATGCAGTGTTGCGCTACGAACTGAACCACACCTTCCCGGGACCCGAAACCCACCTTTTCCGAAGCTCTTCAGGCACCATGTTGGATGAATCCTGATTTACAGAATGTATGAGCTGACAGTTGCTGTGTGCATGGTGGTGTTTGGTCGACATGCTATAGGCATCTATAGTCTATCCGTCTATCTCTCTCCCTCTCCCTCTCTCTCCCCCTCTCTGTTCATCACTGATTCATCACTCAACACAAACGCATCCACTTTGGAGCTGATGAAATAATGCTTCTCATAGTCATAGCCGTAAGGAAACTCAATATCTGCGCTTGTCTGCACTTGACTTGTTTTGTCTGCTCTGAGAGGCTATATCTGCTTGTCCAGTTGGCTCGCCAGTTCCAAGAACATCATATCCTCTCGCATGCATGGAGCACTCAGACTGGCAAATCGTCAAAGTACATGCTTCCAAAAAAGAACCATCGATCTTTTTGAGATTCACGGTGTGCCACTCACTTACAACAGGCAATGTCTTACAATGTTGCATTGCTGTTCTGCAACATGTCTCATCAACAGTTACAACTGTTTCAAAGAACCACAGTGGAAGAAACTGAGTTTGACAACAAACTGTGCCAGCCTAGAAGTTCCTTGAGGTCTCTGTCCAACCTCAGGGGTAGTGTAAGTCACCATATAATCTTCATTGAGCAAAGCGTTTTCGGTTGGCTCTCGCTACAATTCATGCCATCTGCGCTGCTGATGCCAAAAGGTGAGGAGTTTGGACATACCGTGCATCAGACGCACGCTGTACAAAGCTGTGCCCAAACACTGTGCATGCAGGAGTTTGTGCATGCCTAAATGCTCAAATTTGCAAGTCGAAGCCACTCTCCCTGTACAAATAGAGCGGAGGTGGCTGGGTCAGTTCACTGCATCTCCAGCAGCTTCTCGGCTAAGCGTTCCACACCTCCCTCTAGGTGCTGGCGAGCTGCCTGCACAGCAGCTCGGCAGGGCGAGCTTGGGCAAGCCAGGCTTCGCAGTGCTGAGGCCATAGCACTGCTAGTGACTGTTTCCATGGGATGAAGAAAGGAGATTCCCCAAGAGCAATTCTGAACCTTCATGGCATTTGCAGGTTGGTCCACTGCTTGTGGCACGGCCACCAGTGGAACACCCGCCATCAGGCTTTCTTGCAGGCTATTGAAACCCACATGGGATAAAAAGACACTGGCATAACTGTTGAGCATCTCCACTTGGGGGACGGAGGCTCGCACGATGACATTCTGCGGAAGCTGTGAGTCTTTCTCCAAAAAGTCCAAAGCATCTGGCTGCTTCCCTGCACACAGCACACAGTAGAATTCATCTCCAAGGTCTTCCATAGCACAAAGCAGTGCTTTCCAAACATGTTGACAGTACTGCTTTCCAGTTGTACCTGTCGGGAGGTTTCCTGAAGACACTCGCCCCAAGTCCATATTCCAACGCTCATTCAAAGCCATGGTACCCAACGCAGCAAAAATGATGCGACGTCCCGCTACGAGCTGTTCATGAAGTTCCTTCATGGGCAGGTCATCTCTGAGGTTTCCAGGCACTTTTCCGGGTGCCGAAGAGATGTGTGGAGCCGTGCTGCTCACTAAGCAACCAATGGGCAGGAAGCGAAAGCGACTCAACTCTTGGGCCCAAGCCGCCTCACTTGGAACTGGAGCCACCAAATCTTTGCAAGTGGTTATGAAGTTCACAGCCGTCAAATAATGTCTGCGGGTCAACAAATTCACTTGCAAGTCAACTCCAAACCTCTCTTCGATGGCCTGTCCAAGAGGTGCTCGAAGACCAGCTAACTTCTCCAATCGATCTTGGTGTGCCATTATATCGCCCAGGCTTCCAATGCCCGGAAAGGTCACCAACGAAGCTTTTGGAATCCCTAGCTTCAATGCCACCAGCAAGCCATGTGGTGCAGCCGGGTCGTACAAGACAACTGACACGCCCAAGTCTTGACACCTTTGGATGACATGCTCACCACAAAGGAGTGTACTTGCCAAAGGCCACACCGCTCTTGCCCAGGCTTCTTGCTCTTCAGGTCGAAGATCCTCTGGTGGTACTTGTGTGCCACATTCTTCCAGCACCAGCTCAGGAACATCTGGTAGATAGCTTTCGACGATGGCACCAGACTCTCTGGCAGCATCCCAAATCTGTGGAACCTTTGGCAAAAAGTAGTGAACTCGGCAGCCCCTTCTGACCAGCTCTTGTACCAATGGGAAGGTTGGATTCACATGGCCAATCAATGCCACATTGAAGATGGCCACCGTTGGATTGCTGGCAGATGCGGACATGGCTCTACGTTCTTTCTCTCCAATCGTTTTTGAGCCGATTGAGCTGAAGCACCAAGCCACATTGGAGAAATTGTAGAAATGCCAAAACATTGGCACAAGTGATGTGGGAGCAGCCTTAGCAAAAGCCAAATGTGACCAAATGTGCTTCATAGGCACCTGAAGTGAGAAGGAGGGAAAAATAAATGAGAACTAGCTGGCTAGTTGGTCAGTGCTCACAAGCAGTACACCAATTCCATGCGGCTGAAAGTTACTTGGGCTGAGGCCCGGCGGCAACAATCATCTGTCTTCGAGGAATGATACCAGGGTCGGAGCAGCAAGTGAGGCAAAGGAACCTCGCAGCACAGAGCATGTTCGGGGGTAGGTCGGTAGGTCAATACCAGGAAGAAGGTCTTGGGAAGAACCTTCAAACAAAAGGCTTCTAGGTTGGTGTCCAATTCAACATGTCAGCCCTGTCATTATCTGCGTGTTTTTTTCCCGTGTTTGATCGCAAAATATTGCGAAAAGTCCTTTGTGCAAGCCCGACCATGAGGCTGGGGTGCAACTTCATGAGGAGGGCATTCTCCAACACAAACGTTCTTCAAAGCTCTGAAATGCCAGGAATGGCATTGCAATTTCAAGCTATTGAAGTTGATTTGCAGGCATGGCACGTGGTTGTCAGCAAGAACACACAAGCCGCGGCAAGCGGCACCAATGGGTACCACTCGGTCCAAAGACGGCCCACAAACAAGCAGTAAAACCTGGGATGATCGACGGCAAGCATCGCCCGTCATGGTCTGAAACGGGATGACAGGAAGTGAAGTACTTGCCAAAATGTGCCAAGGCCCAGACCCACAAGGTACCAGGATGAAGGACCAAGCACAAGCGGCCGGGCCACCTCAACCATACCATGTGGTTTCTGTGTCTTGCCTAGTATCATGATGTACCATCAGAAAAGGTCTGTGCTTCAGTTTGGTCTGCCCAAGTTTGCCGCTTTGCATACCTATTTCTTCTGGTCCAAGGCACTTGGATACGCGGTCACACAGCGCCCACCACAAGGGAACAGGATCTTGCCGGGCCAAACCTAAATGCAAAGTTGCGGGGTTTCAGCGCAGAGCAAGTACAAAAGCTCTCAACAGCCGTGCCTGGTACATTCGCCGGAATTTGTCTCTGTCCCGCGCTTCATCAGGTGCTGCTTCAGCATCGGCAGCCATAGCTGGTATAGCCGTTCAGCTGCTCAGCTTGTAAAGCCTTGTGAAGCCTTCTTACAAAGCCGCCGAACTTCTCGAAATACGGAAGACTCGACATAGTGGGAAATCACATCTTCTGCCCATTTTGCTTCTTAAAGTGTCTTAGATCAAAGTGGTTGTGTCTGACTTCTGATGCAAATGTGCGAATCCTGATGAAATCATAGAGCTCATGGTGCTGCATCGTATAGATTCAAATTGTCTCAAATGCTTGATACACAACTAGGACGCTACTAGGGGCTCCTGGCCGTACTACTAGGAACAAGAAGCTACTAGGAGCAAAGGGCATCGCTACTAGTTTCACCGAACTGCCAACACAAGGCGCTGACTGGACACAGAGTTGCCAGGTGCAATGGCTGCACCTGCCACGCTTTCGGCCGAGGCGCTCTGCAAAGGAACACTGAGAATTTCAAAACCATTGATGATCACCATTTAAAAACCCGAAAACCTTTAAGCATCAATGGAAGGTCAATGGAAGGCCAGGATAGATTTGCCTTTTGAAATCATATGAAAAACATTGAAAGACAATCCGGTGCCTTTGTAGGAGCTTGGATGGATTCCAAAAATGCCTTCCTCTGGTCGATTTCTGCATTCAAAGGATGGCATGCTTGGTGATTGTTAGATGTGGCTCTTCTCCACCTGCTGGCTGGCAGCATCTTTCTTTCGACCAGCAGGCAACTCACAGCCGGTCCAAGTGAAACCAACTTGCTGAGCTTCTCTCGTGATGATTGTGGAAACCTACGAAAACTTCTGCTAGAGATTCTAACCAGTCTCAGTTGGCTTATATATCTTAATTTTACATATCTGTACTGAGTATTTTGTCCACAAATCAGGCTGATGGTAAGACAAGAGTCAGTGCTCAATTCTGCTCAGATCTTGCCCATTTTGTACAAAGGAACTCCTCCTGTAGCCTTGCTGGTCGATGGATGCCATGAATTAGGAGCAACGGGCATCGCTACTAGGAGCAAGGACGCTACTAGGGGTTCCTGGCCGTACTAAGTACTAGGAACAAGAAGCTACTAGGAGCAAAGGGCATCGCTACTAGGAGCAAGAAGCTACTATAGTATACAAACTAAAGCATTGACATGTGAAGCTTTTGTCCGTGGTCATTTGTCGGAACCGTGCAAAGCTATACCAGCGAAACAACACCATGGACCCAAGCGTTCAACATGTCATGTGCTGCGGCATGAGTTGTTGTTCTATTGCCATTGATTCTGCCCCGTGCCTTAGTAAACTCATCGGCAAAGCGTGTCGCCTTGGGATTGGACACCAACATGAAAGCGGGCACAAAGTTGATAAGTGAAGCGCAATTGCGACACCTGCGACAGAGTTCTACAAGCCCAAAATGCTCAAGAAGCTACTAGGGGCTCCTGGCCTTACTACTAGGAGCAAGGACGCTACTAGGGGCTCCTGGCATCGTTATTAGGAACATGTTGACATTTCTCCGCGACTTAAGATCATGACATCTGTCTGTCCCAAGGGATGGTACCACTTCTGTCCTTTGCAGCCTGCAGTCGAAGCACCATGGAAGACCATGGAAAACCATCCAACCATCATCAACCATCCGTTCGTACCTAATGCAACTCTTGTTTGACTGAGCGAATCCTGCCTCCATTTTGGTAGGCCCAGGCATCTTTCAGACGCTCCGCAAGCTTGACCTCTCGCCTTCGGAGTCTTTCAGCCGGATCGAGGATTGCATCGGTTGAGCTGGCCTTCGACCTCACGCTCACCAAAGACAAACTGCAGACCTTGGCACCTTCTCCATGTACAAGCTGACTTCGCAATATGCCAGCAAACTGTTGAAAATGGAACCACGTGCTTTGACTGATTAAAGGCATTTGATATTTTCTACAGTCAGCCAATGTCGACCGATGCCACCTCCGATGGGCAGCAGTATAGATATTCCTTTGAACATCGATCTTTTAATCCGGCAGTTATTTTTGAGTTAGTCAGAGTCTATTTGACCTTCTTAGTCAAGGAGATGTGCACCTCACCCAGTGACCATTGACAATGATTCAGTCACCTACAATAATGACCCTTCACCCTTCATGTAGGCATTACAAATACTACTGTACAGTCATGAGAGATAATAGGCCTCTGTCAACGCAATGCTTGCATGCGCGATTGGTTTCGGATTCGGGACTTGGAGACCTTGCTGTGTTGCTGTGGGAGACTGAGGATACTCGTTTCACTGCATATCTAGCAAATTTAGTAGCTTTACCGCGAGTCTGTATGTGGAGATCCGTCCAACAAAGCTATATATATAATATATATAGATATAATATATAATATATATAGATATAATTAATATATATATATATTATATTATATATATTACATATATTATATATATATCTCTTAGAGAGGAAAAGCAAATGACATCTTCCCATTGATTGCATTCCAGACAGTGCAAAAATCCGAATCTGATTACTCTAAATTTGCTGCAGCATTTTCTGAGGACTTGGCACAGTGGAGGCACTGAGCTCTGAGGCCGAGCTGGGAATGCCAAATCTGGGTGCCAAAATGTTCGGTGCCGAGGCCGAGAGGATGGAAGGCTTTTTGGCCGGTGCCGCTGTGGCCGCCACTTGGGCCGCTTTGGTCTTGACACCACTGCCATTCTGTAATGCCAAGATTTGGCTCTCTGGGATGGAAGTTAAGACTGAGAGAACTGATGGAGGTGCGGCAGAAACGCATGATGTCGCTTCCGCACCTTCTGGAGCTTCCTTTGGAATGATGGGAGCCGCTGGGTTGCTTTCACTCCAATCACAAGGATCTTTCCACTCCCAGCCGATACCACGGCGCAGTTTCTTCTTGAAGGTTCGTGCCACTGCATCTCCTGGAGGCAGCAAGAGCCAACCGTGTTCTTGGTACGATGTCTCCGGATAAGGATAACGTTGTCGAGAGCCAGCTGACTGCATCGCTATACACCTACGAAATTCTCGGGCTTCAGGACCATCAGGATCCCATCCATGCTTTGCAGGATCGAATCCCTTCTCCTTGCTAAGACCACCCGCGGGATTCACATGTCCGGGTTTGAACTTTGCAGGAACGTCTTCAACACTCACTGCAGCACGAAGGGAGAAAGCAGCCATTGACGTGGCGTTCACCTTGTCCTCTTTTTCTATCCTCTGAGTCCACAATATGCTTTCTCTGATATCAGGCGCTCCGCGTCCCGTCGTCATGGCGCCTGAAGCTCTTTAGCCGAGTCTAAGGTTCAGCCCAAAACATATAATATAAGATCGTATAAGTCATAAGAACCTTTCCTGGCCAGGTGAAGCTATCCTTCAGCTGTGGCATCATGAACTATGGAATCCGCAGTTCTATGCTCTCTTATTGCACAATCCTTGCAAATCTTCGTCATGCAATTCCTGGAGCCTCAGACTTCTTTTCAGCATCCCTGCATTTAGTGCCCGGAAAATCATTGAAAATACAAGATCCCGTGAACTGTCGCCCCCAACGACGCAAAGGCCGGAAAGAAGCTGAAACCCAGTGAACCACACGGGTGTCTCGTTGTTCTGCTGAACAGGCGGACGTCATGCGAATTGGCACGTTTGACCATTGTCACCAACTCGATGACTTGCCGATGTCCGACATGTCCCTGCTTCTTTCCCCTACCCAGAAACATCCAAAAATGACATGCCAACATATCCCTGCTTCTTTCCAAATCTCACATTAGTTGTAGAGAAATCTCAAGAAAGGGCCTCATTAATTTGCAACCAGCCAACCAATCTCCACAACACGTATCATCCACCTATACAGAACAATCTACCACCTTACAGTTGAGTGAGTGATGCCCAGTCCTTCCCTGAATCCTGGTAAAACATCGCCAGAGCTGCTTGGTTTTGCCCATGCTGGAGCCTCAAAAGTCTCAAAAGCATGCTGCTGGCCCGCAAACCTTCGGCTTCCTAGTAGTAAGCCCAGGAGCCCCTAGTAGCGTCCTTGTTCCTAGTAGCGATGCCCTTTGCTCCTAGTAGCGTCCTTGAGTAAAATATCTTATCCCTTTGTCGTGATCGTTGGCCTCCCAGGGCTGATCGTTGGCTCGGACCTGCGAAGTTGGACCGGGAAATCACATACGTCAAACGATGTGAGCAATGCAAGTGTCTTCCGTTTTTGAAAGAAGAGAAGTGTCTTTCATGAAATTTGCAAACTAAGCAGTTCTTGCAAAATAAGCAGAACAAGGATGGTTTGACCGAACGCCTGTTGTAAAGATGCTCGTCGGCCACAACCTCCGAACAGAGTTAGCACACGTTCTTGTGAGACGTCCACGAAACACGCCCCTGCCTGCGGACTTTTCTCGTGTAGATCGGACGACCTGCGGATCCAACATGGTGTTGGACAGCATGTTGATGGATCTGAAAAATGTGCTAGCCCATGGTATAGCCAACTGCTGTGGCTGGCAAACCATTGCTGGACTCTTTTACCAAGCACTCTCAACTCATCCTCTCTCTCTATTGCTTACTGTTGTGGCCAAACGCTCGGCATCTGGGCCACTTGACAACAATTCACAAAAACTATCGGAAAGCTTCAGAGCAAACAACACTTAGAACTTAGAACATCTCCATGCCAGGTGTGAAAAGCCCCAGATCAAACATTGAAACATGAGAAGAAAGCAATAGAAAAGGAGCATGCACTCTCATCTGTGCAAACCTGGCAATGACCGGGCACAGGTACAGTAGTGGGCAAAGTAGTGGGCACAGGCCGTTTGCGACATCTCTCGACGCGTCTTTTCTTTGGCACTTTACTTGCTCAACATCTCAGGCTCAATTTCGCGGCCTGGCAGTCAGGGCTCGATGAGGAATGAAATCCCAACGGCATTAATTCGAAGGTGACATTGCCAACCAAGTCATTTTGGTTCCCATGTTAGTGACTGGCTCTACAACAAAGGCATTTTGGCTTCTATTCTACTATCTGGCTCTTAATCTCGATGTTTGCAGCATCATCTCATCATCATTCACTTGGAAAGACTTCATTCCATATGCCGGCTCATATAACTCCACAAAACCCACAAACATCCAGCCTAGTCGCAAGCCAGATCCTCACTGCACAAAGTGCATTGACTGCTTTCCGTATTCTGACTCATTCTTGAGGCGCTTGCCATACTGCTCAAGCTCGCCAAGCTCGCTGCCCTCGTGCGCCTTGATCGCTCCCATCACCTTGGGCGTCATGTGGCCGACGAAAACAAGAAGACAGGACAAAAAGAAGATAAGAGCAGAGAGCAGGACAAATAGTAAAAATAAGCAAGACAAGAAAAAGGAAAACCAAAGAGAAGAAGAAGAACAATAAGAACAAAAAACATAACAAAAAGAAAACAAGCAAGCAGGAAAAAGAAGCAGAAAGAAGAAAGAAGCAGAAACAAAAAAAGAATAAGCAAAGAAAGAAACAGAAAAAAGAAAGGCAGAAGAAGAAGACAAGCAAGCAGGAAAAAAATACAGAGAAAGAAGAAAGGCGCAGGAACAGAAACGGATAGAATCGGATAGAATAAAAAAACAGCAACGATTTGAAAAAACATGAAAACCACTTGGCCCCCTGACAGTTGCTGGAGTTCCTCCCAAAAGCACAACTGCACCAAAACAAAGTAGCACCAGTGCACTCACAAACCTCAGAGTCAAAGCAAAAAGAACACCTGTACAAAGCTCTATGAGAATATTACAAAAATGATCGAAAATGTACAAGGTGTCTAACATATTCCAAAATAGCACAAGGAGACAGCAGGAGAGTGGACGGAAATAGAACACAAAAGCATTAAAAAGGGGCAAAGTTTGACAAGAACGCAGTGTCCGGGCTCTGCCTGTACGCGCTGCCAGCCATGCTGCGATCCCGCAGTCGTAGGTACAACAGTGCTGGCATGACCTGATCCGAAAACACCCGCGATCTCTGATCGGAAAACACCCGCGATCCCGGCTCCAAAAAAGGAACAACAGATTCAAATCACCCGTTTCAGATCTGGAAAACACTTTTTTGACTTGTGTGATAATTAAACGAGTGTGTGTCTACCGTTTGGTTACACGGGGGAAAATTGGAATTGGAAATCCCGTCTTTTATGGACCCCTGGGGGGACATCAGTGTGAACGTGGACCATGAATGCAAGCACAGTGATTTCTCAATCAACCAACAACTGGTCCAGAGAAGTGGTTAACGTGGACCTTGCCTGGTCTAATTACGTTGGATGCTGAAAAGTTATATATATGTGAAAAACATGGTACCTGAGCCATCACGGCACATAAGTGTTTCCCACACACTCCCCGGTGTGGCATGGTCTCTGGTAAGTATTGTAATGTGTGTTGGGCCTCTGTGCTCAAATACTGTCCTGCGGCCCCACCACACTTTTAAAGCCTTCGCGTGAAAGAGCCTATCTTCCAAAACAAAAAATAACATATTTTGTCACTTGGACAGAGGTAGCAAAGCTAGGTAGCCCAAGTGGAACTCAGAGACAAACGAAGTTCTCCGGAAACGAAGTGGCGGACACAGCTCACGAAGTCGTGTGCCCTTCTTTCTCACGCCATTGCTCAAAGTGTGCTGTCAGCTCCCACCGCTAGGGTGGTTCAGGGCCATAATGGCAAAGAAGTGGAACTCATGAAACAAGCTTCATATGGACATCTTATGTCCGTGGCTTGAGTTTGTACTGAAACTCACACCGGTGGAAAGGTGTGCAAACCTAAAAAATGCTCAAGCGGCAGGCTAGTCAGTCATCCAAGCTTCATAGCTTAGGTAGCCCCATTGTTGCCTCCAGCTGCCCATGTCCTGGGCAAGCGTCGTTCTGCTCGGGCCGTTGACCACGTTCGGAGTCCTCGGTAGGGGCTCGCAATGATGACAAACAGGTCGGCGGTCAACTCTATGGGCTTGCTTCAAACCCTGGCACTCAGAGGTAGTGTGCCAGACATGGCCAAATGGGGCCACAAGAACTCCATGTTCAGCGGGGCATTCCTCTTCAAAGTGGTACAGGAGCTCGTTGTAGCATCGCCAAAGTAGTCCTTGGCACTGCTGAAAAGCCTGGTCGATGGTTTCGGCCTCTTGCTGCTCGATGTTCCATTGTTCCATCATCTCGTTGTGGTGTCTTTTGTTCTCGAAGTTCGTTTCGGCAGCTTTCACGAGGTCATTCTCTAGCTGGGCCATTCGGTGGTCCAGTCGGAGGTTTTGCTCGTCCAAAGCGGCGTCAAAGCGCCGCTGGTCGCGAGCATTTGCAACACGAAGTTTGACCGTCAGGTCACGAACCTGGCTCTTGCGCTCCAGGAATCTTCCGAGCTTGTAGGACAGGTAGCACAGAATGAGGACGGCGATCAGCATGAAGAGCGCCAAGCACCAAAGGAAGTACCCACCTGCATCGGGGTCATCATCCAGAGTGCAGACTCCTGCATCATCCATCTGCGCATGGTCACCGAAGAACTCTGCAGTAACAGCCTTGAGCTGGGTGAAGAAGACCAGTAGCGCCATCGGTGATCTCAAGGTTGTGGTGCCAGACCTAGCAGCGAAGTCCTCATTAGGCGAACTGTCCAAGAGTGCCAGTTCAGCTTCGTGTGGTTCTTCCTGCACGCTCTCGAGGTTGTCGGTGTGGTTGAGTTGTAGGTTGTTGGTGGTGCGTTCGTTCTTTGTGGGCTTCTTCTTCTTTCTCGACTTGGGGTCAGCGAACTCTTGTCGACTCGCTTCCCTCTCCTGCTTGCTCTTCTTCTTGGCGGCGGTGTAGTGAGGGTCCCAAGCCAACTTTATTTTGCGTCGCCGGACGCGATCTGCCAAGAGTCCTCTGGTTGAGCTCTTCGTCAGGCCATCTGCGAACTGTCGTTCGGAGCTGATCCACTTAAGGCAGCCCCCAAGTTCACATACTTGTTGCTTGGCCACTTTGATCTCCAAGTAGGTGCGCTTGTCCACGGAGGAGCTTGCTGAGGTTGCTGTCTCCTTATGCCAAGCATCGTAGAGTGCTTTTGCATCTGTGATCAACGTGGGCTTCAATGCTGACACTTCATGTAGTCGTTCTCGAAGAGACGGTTTTGGATCGAAGATGATCGACCAGAAGCGGCTGATGAACTCTGCCGTGTCGCTGGCACCACCTGCTGCTTGAGCTTCTGCACTGAGGCTTGAGCGGGCGATGCGAGGTAGCTTGTAGCTTCGCCAGTCAACAACATGGTATGGTGTTTCTTGCTCAAAGGATTCCTCAGGGACCAGCATGGCCAGATGGCCACCTTGAGAAGTATGATCTTCTCTTGCAGCATGTGAGGCATCAAACA